GGAAAACTAGTTTCTTTTCTACTACTCCCACAGAACTTCACTTCTGACACCAAATACGTGGGTTTCTCCCACACCAACAATTCGATTCAATTCTGACACTATCTACCTGGAAATAGCATCAGATCCCACGTGTTCAGGGCTCAGTCCCACCAAGATTGTCCTTACCTCCACTTTAGAGGCCGATCGCAAGTCCGGGCCTCCAGTACTTCTGACCAAAGAGCTACAAATCAAAGGTTCCCGTGACCCACTTCTTGAGTTTCCAAACTTGCTAGAATGGTTCACAGAACTCAGGAAAAGAGTATACTTACTAGGGTAACAGTTTATTATAAAGGACAGAGTTCAGGAACAGCCAGTTGGAAGAGCTGCATCAGGCAAGGTGTGGAGGGGGGGCGTGGAGCTTCCTTGCCTCTGTGGGTGTGCCACCTCTGTGTGTTCAGCAACCCAGAAGCTCTCTGAACCCCATAGTTCAGGGACTTTTATGGAGGCTTCATCACATAGGCACAATCAATTATTAATTCAACCTCCAGTTCTCCTCTCCTTCCCAGAGGATGGGGAGTAGGGCTGAAAGTTCTAAGTTTCTAATCATGGCTTGGTCTTTCTGGTGACCAGACCCCACCATGAAGCTATCAGGAGGCCATTAAGAGTCTCCTCATCAGAACAATAAATGCTCCTATCACCCAAGAAATTCCAAGGACTCAGGCACTCTGTGTCAGGAACAGGGGTCGAAGACCAACTAACAGAACATAAAACCCAAAAATATATATATTTCTTATTATATCACAACATCACAGTGTTTGTTCCATAATAAATGCTTATGGTATTAAATATACAGTCACTACTTAAATGTCTTTAGCTGTATGTAAAGTAACCATAATGCCCCAACTTTCCTAGGCAGAGCACAGCACTGATAGAAGACAGACAACCACCAGAAACTTTAAACCCTGGACTGCCCTAGAATATTTTGGGTGGGTAGGCAGCACATCCACAAGTATTTCTACTTTTTATAGGTGTGATCATCATATTTAAACAATTATACACCAGCTTTTTCTCTCATTATTTAGCATACATTTTTCTAGGTTGTGATATACTCTTTATATTTCCTCCCAAAAAAGCCATATATCCTTCTGAGCCTCTGTTTTCTCACCTGTAATCTCTTCATCTCCAATGACACTTCTCCCAGAGCTCTTGAGAGGAAGTATTCTAGTGAATTGGAGAGTGCAGGCTGTGGGGTCACATACCCCTTTGTAGAATCCTGGCTCTGCCACTTCCTTGTTATGTTACCTTTGACAAGTTACTTGTCATCTTTGATCCTCCATTTTCTCACCTGTAAATTAGAAATAATAGTGCCTTATGCAGAGAGTTGGTATAAAGATTAAATGGGGTTTTAAATAATGTTTAATCCAATGTTGACACATAGTAACTCTTAATAAACAATAGCTGATATTATTGTTGTTGTTCTACTTTGCTTTTCTATAGAATATCATTACTTAACCATTACTAAATGATGTTCTATTCCTTAGTCTTATTGGTAATTCCGCAAGGTACTTCCTCAGGCATACAGCTTTTCTCCCCAAATTTTATCTATCCATATATATGATATATATATATATCATCTGTCTCTCTGTAAAATCAGACTGATTTTACAGAGAGACAGAGGGAGAGAAAGAGAGAGGTGAGAGAGAAACATCGACCGGTTGCCTGGTGTACACATCCTGACTGGGGATCAAACCTGCAACCTTTTGGTGTGGGATGACATTCCAACCTATTCACCCAGCCAGGGCCCAAAATTATCTCTTCAGAATAAATTCCCAGGAAGGGCCAACAAGACACTTTCCTCTCTGTGTCTGGTGAGCTCTTGGTTCTTCCAGAGCCTCACCTTCAGAGAACCTCTGATCCCCAAAGACCACGAATCTCCCCTGCCCCATTTTTCCTACAACAAACCACCTCCCTCATAGGCACTACTAGGTCCTCTCCCTCCTATCCAACTCCTACATGGCCCTAGAGGGTTTTTCTAGAAATACATGTTTTCTATTGGAGGGGCGGGGGGAAGTGTCTCTTAATGGCTGGCAAGACTGTAATTTGGAACAAGCCAAAGACAGGCAATTAGAATACTTGTCATTCTCTTGATCCAGCAATTCCATCTCCAGGAAATTTTTTTCTACAGATATACTAAAAAAAAATGTGCAAAATGGAATATCTAAGATTATCAGGGCAGCACTGCTAAAAGTAAAAACACAAGAAATCACATAAATGTGACTGGAGATTATTTAAATAAATTACACAGCACCCATATACTGAATACCATAGAAGGATAAAACTCTTTATGTAGTAAGATGGGGGCATTCCCAAGCTACATTAGTATTTTTAACCGAAAAAAGCAAGGTACAAACCAATGTAGCATGTGTGAAAAGTTAAAAATAGTGGGAAGAATAGATGTATGTGTTTGCTTGTACTTGTGTAAAACACTGTGGAAGAATACATAAGAAACTGTAACATTGGCCACCTCTGGGAGAGTACTGGTGGCAGGTAGATAGGTACTGAAAGTAGATTTTTTTCTGTGCGTACCCTTTGTTGTGTTTGAATTTTAAACCATGTGACTGTATTCTCTAGACAAAATAATAACAATAATTGACAGAAAACACACGTGGTGGAGACACAAAAATATTGCTATATGTGCTGTTACTAAAAGGATGGCAGAAGAATTCATCTTCTGGAGAAAACTGCTCCTGTGTTGGGGGGGAAACCCTGAGAAGTTTCTTCTCCTCTTCCTGTTCTCTGATTCCTTCTACTTTAAGAAAATCTTTCCCCTTTTCTGGCCTCTTCCATGGTTGCGCAAGCCAAAGCTCAGAGCCCAGTCTGGAAGGGAAAGGTCCGAACCATCAGAAAGTAAAGGATGTTCCCTTCCGGTGAAAAGGTGGTTCTGATTTTAAGTAATTCTTTATCTCCTCTGGGGTGGACTCCAGGGGCAGGGGTTGGGGGTATTGGGAACTGGGAGGAGAAAAAGGGAATGAGAAGGGCCTAAATAAGAGTAAGTAAGGAGAATGGACCTCCAGCCCTGAGATGGCTCTCTACAATGGTGTAAGGCTGAAAGCTTTTAGAACAAGTGGCTTGTTTGGGGGGAGGCCAAATCCTGCTATTATATGTGTGGCAGGATGTGAAGGTTCAATTTGTTTTCATACTAAAAACAGTCTGAAGTTGCCTCCCTTTTCTTGCCAACTTAGAGCAATTATTTTTCCTCACTTATTGTACAGTCTGAATGTTGAGCCCTCCCTACGCTTAAAGAAAGGGAAATCTATTCTTTTTTGGTTTGTTTGTAGTAATTGCTGATGAACCAGGCCTTAGATTTAATAGATCAACAGTCTATTAAGAACTAGAGAAGAACAGAGGAACCAGAAGAGAGAGAGAAGGAAGTACCATGGAAGAGGCCAGAAAAGGGGGAAGATTTTCTTAAAGTAGAAGGAATCAGAGAATAGCAAGAGGAGAAGAAAGTGACAGAGTCACCACAAGCGCCGCACTGGCATGGGAGCTGATCTGGGGCAGTTTACCAAAAAGGAAGAGGACATGAAGCTCAACTGAGCCAGTCGAATGGTACTAGCAATGACGGCTTCAAGGGACACAAGGCATGGGGAAGAGCTAAGTCACGGCCACAGCTCGCTCAGCCATGACCAGAAAGAGCACTTCCTCTTGCCTGCACCAAACTTGTCCATATACATTGTGCCTCTGTAGGCAACTGGTGAATAAAAAGGTCACTCCATTAGCATTGGTAACTCACTGGATGCCTGCCCAGCCGGAGAGATGCCCATCCATACCATACACCTTCAATGTGAACCTGCCCTATTACTCCAGGTGATATATGCCCCAGGGCAAAACCTGGACCCAGTGGAGTGATGACAAGAAAGCTCTGGGCATGGTGGGGGAAAGGGAACAAGAAAAGTGGGAGCTGAACTGAACAAGGTCAAATCCTCCTGAGATGGGACAGTAGATAATGACACTGCTGTTACATGCAAATAGGGACAATGTAGATGGCAGGGTCTGGCAAATTTGGCATATTACTCACCTGATTAAAACTTTCTGAGGGCTACTCTCCATCTTTAGATTAAATTCCAAAATTTTCAACTTGGTGCATTAGAATAGGCTAAGTTATGCTGCAGTAACAAATTAACCCCCAAAACCTAATGGCTTAGCACATGGTACATAATCATTCATGGACCCAGACTAATGGAAGGGCCAATATCAAGGAGCTATACCACTTAGAATGTGTAGCCTCCTTGGTCACTGTGGCAATGTGTAAGCTCCTAGGAAAGCTTGCTTTTTTATACTTTAGCCCTGAACTGACACGTTTTCAGCACATTGGTAAAACTAGCCACATGGTTCCCTCCAGCTGCAAGGAGACTGGGAAATACGGGGAGTAGATGGATATTTGGTGAGCAGTAAATATCTCTGCCATACATAGCACTTAAGACTCTTAGTGATCTGGCCCCAGGGTCTCATCCAGCTTCATATCCTGCCACTGCCCTGCTTCCCAACTCATAATCTACCTCTGGTCATGGGGTCTTCTCTCAGCTCCCAGCCATGTTCTTGAACCATTGCTCTCCCATACTTTGCTCATGCTGGTTCCTGACCATAAAATACCCCTTTCTACCTTCTCCACCTGCCTCAATACTAAGCCCAGCTCAAATGCCATCTTCCCCATTCCTGGCCCCTCAGGGCCACCTCTCTTTTTATATACTACTAGTGGCCTGGTGCACAAAATTCATGCACATTAAAAGGGAATTAATTAGAGGAAATATTTTAATATTGCTATTTGCCCTTTCTCTATAATAGAAGTGTCAGAGATAAAAGAAAATTTATAAAATGTATATGAAAAACTCCTCCTGTCAGAGTCTGGGGCACACCACAGGACCCAGAGTCAAGCCCCCACGAGCTTCGAAATCATGTGAGACCCAGACCCGGCCAGTCCCACCCCCGTCAAACCCTGCAGCGCGGAGGGGCACATCCTCAGGTCCCCCAGCCCGGTGCTGGGGCAGGGGGCATGGGCTCATGTCCCCCGGCCCTGACGCCGGGGCGGGGGGGCACAGCCTCAGGTCCCCTGGCTCGGCCTCAGGTCCCCAGGTCCCAGCTCGAGGGCATGAGGGTGTGATGACCATTTGCATATTAGATCTTTATTATATAGGATACTTCCATTAGCACTTAGGGTCCGTGAGACTGACTTCCTGCCATAGACTATTTCACAGAGCCTGGTACGTACTGGGCACTAAATAAATATTTGTCAAATAAATGCTCTGCTTTAGAATTTGTCAATAATACTTTGTTTGCCTTGTCCACACCCATCTGCCCACCCGCCTATAGGTTGTGTGTTCTGGATGATACAGACTGGATGTTATTCATCTCCACTTCCCCATTACCTACCGGCACTGAGAATTCTTTCAGTAAATGTTTTGGGGAGAATTGATTAATTTGCCTTCTATTTACCTAGTACTTTCGAGTAGTAACTTAAAAAATAACTACAAATGGGTCTTTTAACAATGAACATCAGCTATGTGTATGTTATATTTCAATTTAAAAGTTTATTCTAAAAAATAAACAAGAAGCAAAAAAGGGAAGTATTGGGAGAGTAAATTGCACGAACACAAAGGCACTTCTGGAAGATGCAATCACTGGTGTGTGACTTTTGTAATAGCTTCTGTAGACAAAAATATTAAAGTGCTTTTGGGCTCAGTAATGTTGGCCAGAGCTAGCTAAAGCAAAAGGAACCCCACAGGTAGAAACATCCTGCCTCAGAATCAGGAGGAATCAGGGCCCCAAGTGTGGTGGGAACACACATGGCCCTCTTTACTTCTTTCATGTTTCTCTGAGCCTATATTTTGTTATTCCCACTCACTGAAACACAGCTTTTTTCGCTTCTTAAAAAACAGCCACTTGCACCATCAGCCAACAGCTACCTACTTTTTAATTCTTTTCCAGAGAGTAGCAGCCACATCCTCTGACCCAGTTTCAAGACCACAGAGAAGGACTCTGATTGCCTCAGCTCACAGGTGACCAGTGGAAAGTCCCTGGGCATGGCTAGTTTTCACCAAGATCTTTATGGAGGAACCAGGCACCAGGAAACGGGCTGGGAAGAAAAAGCCATTACAGCTCACTAAAATAAGGAAAAACCACTCATAAAAAATAAATAAAAAAGAGAGAAGGTAGCTTCAGAGAGAGAGATCATATAAATATAAATATATCCTCTGAAAAGAATGGAAGATAAGGTCACATTATTTGGGAAGGAATTAAAATGGCAGGCGCCACTTCATACTTAATCTTCCACATCTCCTAAATATC